AACATGCTTAGCCTTTCAGCCATGGGAGCTTTATAATTTGATAAATAATTCCCTATTTGATTAGAATAGCCCAAGAGTTAGCAGCGGGTAGTGTTGATGAATAGCTGCCTTCCCTCTAGTCTATCACTTCTAAATTAGAAAGGGCTAGCACAGATAGCCATAGAGTAACTATACATAAAATTCAACAAACAAATTAATATTCAGAATGGTTGCTTTGTTCATAATTAAGCACAAAGCTACACAATGGGCTATCTGTGCTCTGCCCACCATGGGTATCGAAACCCGGATTCTAGCGTTGTAAGTCTGCAGACATACCTCTGTGCCACTGGGGGGGCATTCAGAATGGAAACTACTGATTAATATCACTGAAACTTATTTATAATTAGCTTACAATGTAAGTATGTGGTCAATAAAGTTGACCCTGTCATTGTTTTAACACTAGATGTTTTTTACCTTTCATCGTACTTTGTATTATTTTCAGTACATCTGGTATTAATTAGATGAAATTCCACTTACACATAGATTTACAGATTTCAAAAACTTGTGTCAGGTTAATCAACATAATACCATCTCATTAATTATACAGATAAACTAATGGAATGTACCCTGTTTTATGAAAATAATACTGATAACTCTAAAAAAATTGATATCCCATTACACCCAGTTTATTACTTGTCATTAAACTGTATAAAAAAATTAAATTTTTTGAATTAAGATCAATTTCAAACAGGTTCTTACCTCTGAAATATTGATAGCCTTTCTTTGTCAAGTTGCACTCGTGTTGTCGAATTACAACTATATGATTCAAAGTTCTGAATGTGCTTGACACTTACCTAAAATTCTCCAGTCTCTAACTTGACTTACCAAGCATGCATCAGAAAAATGTATATTAGCTCTCTTTTTGGGCCATAATTCAGACTTTTAGTTGCTGTCATGGTAGAATAACATAGAAATATAAGTATCTGTTTGAAATTCATTTTAATCCTCAAAAAATTGTAAAATTCTAACCCTGGTAGATTTACCTCTGAAAAACTGACAGTCAGAATACCCATAATGAATAGGAAGTGGAAAATATAAGAGTTGAAACTTTATAAAAAGCATGTTATAGCTTGGAAGGATGGTAAAAACCTAGGTCATACTAAATATGTGGTCTGTCAGAATTGTAGAAATATCCAGAAGCAGGATATGTGGTCTATCAGAAACTGGTCAAATCTGTGGGTGGTGAGGGAGAATCAAATAAAGACCTGAGCTTCCCTGATGATTGGGCTCAACAAATCAAGGAAAGTGCAATAGAAAAAAAAAGAAGAAAATGTAGGTGTTTCACATCCTTGGTGAAGCTATGAGATATCCAGTGAGAATGGTCATCTTGTTTCAGATATCTCTAATGCTACAGAAGGACGTGCATGTAGAGGTGGCAAAGGTACCCACCAAGGCATCTTCAGCCAATAAAAATCATTTGTCCAATTCCAGAGAGCATCACTCTCTCACGAAGTACCAGTATAGAGGGTGGAATTATGTCTAAACCAAATGCAGAGGCTTAAATAGCATGCAAGAGCCTCAGCTGGATTAATTCAAATATAATCCAGAATCTCCTGAAAGAAGGTGAGACTGCAAACAGAGAAAAACTCACATGCTATGGATTCCATCGCACTTGAAGATTAACCACAGGTAGCAAACACAATACTGAAGCTGAAAAGACAGGAATATGAAATGTGATGTCAATATAATTTTGTACATACATTTGAATTCATTCCTACGTCAGCCTGTTAGATGTCTTCTAATGAGTACCAAGACCAAAAAGCCAAAGATGCTGCCAAATGGCAAATTTGATGAAAAGTATATATAAATACTTTTCTAAAATGTTTGGATACATAGTAGACACGAGAGATTAGCTGCATAAGTCAATTATTTAGTGTGAATGGAACAAGATTCTTCATAAGGCTTCAATAACTTTTTTATCCCCTTCAAAAGATTCCATTCATGCAATACAGCAATGAGCAGCCCACAGAAAACACAGTCAGTGTTTTTCATAACAATAATCTCGGTCAGTCAGGGTGGTAAACACAGTTAGTGAATAAAAGGGAAAATATCAAAATAGAGGCAAAATGGACAATATTCTTTATAGAAAACAACGTAAATTGATACATCATTTGATAGATTAAATCTTTGGCTTTCTATTGATTATAAATGATCATAGTATGAAATGTCAGAAAAAATTATTGACAATTTGTGAAAAAGAAGATGTGACACATGGGCATGGCAAGTGGGTCTGATTTTCTAGTTTATGGCTCTGTAAACAAATAAGATTGAAAGCTATAAAAATTATGCTTTGCCTTAGTAATATGTGTATTTTAATGAATAATCTACATTAAATTTCATACTTCTCAGAAGGGTGGTATATAATTTAGAGAAGAAAGACCTAGAGAACAAATGTCACAATTCTCATACTAGGAGAGATTGAGGAGTTTTTAAATAGTTCCTTATATAATTAAGAACTTAAAGCTTATATAATATTATGATTTGATTTATTATTTACATTTTTATGCCAAGTTTATTCATATACAACAATAATAAAGTAGTTTAATTAAATTTTGAATGTAATCTAAAAAGTCAGGACATGCACTCTTTTACTTACCTGTAGTGAGAGGATTAAGTGAGTCAATAAGACTAACTTTGCTTATGTCTATGTATGACCACTCAGTTTAGGGTCAAAAAGAACTAGTATAGGTAGGTGACATGGAAGAGAGAGGCAAGGCAAGACAAAATCCATTACTTTCT